ATATCCTTTGAAAATTAGTTGCAAGTCGAATTTTCATTGTTCAATACAGTAGCGTGGAATAATCTAGACATGGAAGTCTCATTGTGTTACAATAGTCAGTTGTGCAACTGACCATTTGATAAGAAGGTTTTGACGGATTCGATTCCCAGTCAATGATTTTTCGTGTTAGGGTTTTAGCTTTGAAAATATTCACGGTTTGTATCGTTTCTGATTATTATTAGAAATAAAGGAAATCACCCGTTTAAAAAAAAACCTTTTTCAGCGTTATATTTTTTTACTGCTGCTTTTAAAAGTGCAAGTGATTTTAACAATCAACGCAATTTTCATTCATAGAGTTAATAAGTACGAGTATTTTTATAAATAAAAAATCATTTTCATATCTATGATTTGAACTTATCTAGGGTGTTAAAAAGCAATGTAGTTTGTATAATAACCAGAAGTCAGCAATGTAGCTTAGAAATAAAAAACCATTTTCAGTCTATAATTTAATAAATTTTTCATACAAAATTCATGACATTAATAAGACCGTCATATAATTAATTAAGATCAGAATATAATGATTGTAAAATTGCTTACTCTAAATTAAAATATTAGGAACATTTTGTTAAATTTCAGTCTTCATGCAACATTGTTATTAAAGTAAATTATATAGTATTATATCAATCGAAAAAGAATATCTAAAACATTTTGTTGTCACTATTTGAACACAAAAAATTATAAATAAAAGTTCGAAATTGGATTGGGTCATTGATTTAATCTACCGTATCTATTTATGTTTGAAACGGGCCATAAACCATATGGCCCCACTGCGGATTGGTGAGAGATAACGACTACACATTCAGCCGGAATAGACAGCTGAATATGAACGTGCTTACGGAGGTCGAGATAACAAATTTTTAATTACCCATCCTGTGACTGGATTTGCGAAAGTTGCTTAATTTAACTCCGCATCGCATCCCGAACTACAGCTTAATCGATAATTCAATTCAATTGTTTTTTTTTATAAACGTCGTTTGAACCAAAATTATTAAATGTCCGTATACGAGTTAAGTAAAAAGAAGACATACAAAATATAGTAAACTATATCTAAATAAAACCAATGGACATTACTTAAACCTATACACATTAAGGTATGTACCTACAACTAAAAACAAAGAGGCAATTCACATTGTTAGTAAACAACAGACTTTTAAATCGGCGATCATCACCGTTACATTAGTTCAAATCAGTCTTCAATACATCATGAGTGAGGTAGGTGTGGTTATACTAACATGAACACAAATTTAACCTCAGACGACGGAAATCAAATCCATTAAATCCATTTTCTCGTTGACGAGCTGGTATCAATTATTATGCATATTCTAATGAGCAATCATTAGCAGTGTTATTAATAAACAAAGTTTAGTGTTGGAGTAAATTTATTTGGTAATACTAAGTCCAGTGACTTAGTATTACCTAGTCAAAATTCTAAACAGAGACAGCAAAGGTTAACCTAGTACGAGGTTCTACGGGAGTAATATTTACTCCTAGAAGGTAGCAGGTTTGCTTATTCTCTGTATAATATTAATTTGGACAAATAGTAAAATTGCAATTTTAGCGTGAATTTACTCTAACGCTAAACCTTATTTGTTAATAGTATAATATACGATGTCAAGAAAGACATAAATGAATTAATACAATTTATTTACATAAGACTGAACACAATTATTAGCTCCTAGATAAAGCCGAATGTACATTACGAACCTAGAGGCATGAATTAGTTTAATTGTATTCATTTCATTAGCATTTAGACTTGACATATGAACGTCCAGTTTGACAATGCGAGCGTTAATTTCATGGCCCTAGAATACTTTTCGTGCCATGCGCATATTTTTAGTGAAACTAATGTCACACAACTAATTTTACCACGACTTATATAGCGAAATAGTATCGTGATGCCATCCGCGCATAAAAGCATCGATGCTCACTGAATCAGTGTCTGAAAGATACTGTTGGTTTCACGCCATTTCACATGCGCTAAAATTAGTTTCATGGAACTTGTTTCATCATGTATGACACTACTTTTGCAATGTAAATTCGGCTTAACGTTACAAAAGTAGAACAAAAAGGGTTCAATATTTTCTCTAAGATCTTATTGCCTCTGCGTTTGTATCAAACTCTAACACTCGTATCTATCTATAGTCAAGATAAATAATAACTTGAGAAAATGTCATAATTTGAATAAGTTTTTTAACTTTGAAGTCGGTGCTATTCCAAAAAGATTTTATTACTAAATGCATATGCATGATCGGTCATACATGGTACATATACCAAAATATTTTGTTTTTGTCTATCTGTCTGACTGTTTCTTGCAGCTAATCTCTGAAACGGCAGGACCGATTTTGATGGGACTTTCACTGGCAGACAGCTTATGTAATGAGGAGTAGCATACTTTCCAGACGAAATCGCGGGTACTAAATTTACGGTGCTGTAACTATTATCAGTTCCTATTTAATTCAAATTCTTGTTTATTTGGTAAAAATATCTGCTTAAGTTATGATATATTCTCAAGTCATTACTTCTCTAGACTATGATACGCAGGTGAGTGATCTTACATGATCCACGATAACAGTTGAAACATAATTTGAAATGTCAAAAAGTAATAAAAAGCTCCAAATAATTATTAAGTCAACCCCAATTTCATTGTACATAATATTTATCACAAAACAAAAAGAAAGAAATTTTACTGCTAGCAACTAGCAGGCATCACAAAACAAACAATATATATACAATATATAACAATATATATAAAATAAATAGGTACACATATTATTTGATAATTCTAGGCAGCCTTGCCATGAACTCATAATGCAATGTAAATGCCATTATTGAAATTACATTGTATTGAAATGAGACACAACCATAAAGATGGATTCTCACAATTTGAATATTGCAAATGGATCCCATTATATATTCACCGACAAGAACCCTGATATCTTTAAAAAAAATCAGTTATAGATTATCTAGAATTATCGATTATTTGATAAAATAAATTTATAAAAATATATAAATCAAACCCATTTTTTTAATAAAACTATTAATAATTTTAAAATTAAGTAATGATCAGCTGCTTTTAGCTTTTTATTTTACAGTCTGTCTGTGTGTCCTGCTCGTGTTCCTCTAGGCGATTTGATTTACAAGGAAACGAGACGTTCTTATAGCCATTATTATTTATTATAATAAACGCCAGATCGGTAACATTCTTAGCATGTTCCGATCAATTAAATCACAATTGTTTACGGAATTGCTTTGCAAATCCAATTAAGTATGTTCTCAAACAATAAAAAAATACAATAATACGAGATTCGTTGTTAACAATAAAAAAATAACTGACCTCTGAAATTTTGATAAAAAATATTTCCAAACATTTAATATTTAAAGTTGCATCACATGCAACTCACTATTTTAAAAATAGTGTGATACATACTTTATAATGGCACTGAATTAAAAATAGTGAATTTCAAATAATATTTTTATACTTAAGTCCTCTAAACATTGATTAGAGAGAAGCAGATTCCAAAATAAGGGCTAAAATTTAGACAAATATCATATCACTATCAGAATTTTTATGTCAACTCCGATTTAAGCTAGTCATGTCCGAGTGATTTGAAAGAGCATAACCACAATTTTTTATAAATACCACAGTTACGCCCTTTTTCTCAAGTTCTATTAAGTTTAGAATTATAACGGCAGTTATTATTTATGACGACGTGGTGAACAGCGTTCTTTTCGACGTATAGAACCTGGTTCATTGATGACAATCTTTGTTTATATATCACAATAAATGTTCCAAAAAACCTGTCGCCTGTCGGCCGCCATCTTGTTATACTAACCGATGACTATTATCGGCGATTTCTATTTTCATTCGTAATCTTACAAAGGAAATTACTACGCCCTAAATCTGCAAGCATATATTGTAGTCTCGATAAGTTGTATTTATCAATAAGCTCGCAAGCAGTGTCGATGCGATAGCAACAATATCATATCGAACAAACGAATATCATAGAATGATACTGCACATGGTATTTTCAACGGTAGGACTACCAATAGTACCTACGACTGATCCTCGATATAAATTATCGTTATCGCAACAACGCTGGGTGGTCTACAATTGATAAGAAAATCGTAACAAAGCAGTCGGATCTCATTTCCGACCATTAAGTTCTGTTAATATCATTCAAACATAAATCATCTATCATTGAGTTGACATACTTTGTATCTCATATTTGACATCCTTACCCTTAAATCAAGTATGTTATATTTTGGAAAATACTTATCAAGTTACTTAATAAGTCCTCCATAAAAACATCTTAGTGAGTTATATTTTTATGATTTATATCAACATAAATCGTAAGATAGATTAGGTCTGCGCCCGCCCAAGTATCTAGCCATGACTAACGCGCGATTTCTGAATTGAGAATTTGAAGTTTAGCACGTCTCAAACCGTGCTTAAGCCATTTTTAACGTCAATTAAACAGGTTTTCATTACCGATTTATATAAAACATATTAGTAAAATAAAACGAAATATCGTCATAACATCGCTAATATGCCGAATCGTATGTCTGATAAAATGAAATCGACGTTATATTAAAAAATACACTTAAAAAACCTATATGTTTTTTTTTATATACATTTGGTGTTATATTCGAGCCACTTCAATGTATACATAAAAATAGATAACTTTATTCTCAAAATTTTATATGATACGATATAATTATTATAACCATTATGTTTGCAAAATGGTTCTTAAAGACTAGTCTAGTAGAATAATATTTAATGATGTTTGCATACTGCGTACGGCAAATATCCATATCTAGCTATGCTATGCTCGATTAAAATCAACCCGAACGTATTAAAATAGGCATATTATCATATAAATCACAACTTAATAAAAAGAAATTAAAATGATGTGGGTCTCAGATCCACTTGATTTATCTACTATCTATCTATAACTAGTTCATTAATAGATTTTGATATACTCCTTATCATTAGAAGCAACATCACGAGCTGTGTCAGGTAGAGTTTCAAACATTACCACCATATAGCCCTCTGGAGTTAGAGCTACATCACACGGGCGGTCTTTGTCGTCAAGATCTGGACTCTTGAAATACACGGTGGATAGTATACGGAGATCTGAAGTTAATACAACTATACGCTGGTTTTTGGAATCTGCTACGATTACGCGACCCTCGTCATCAGTCACAATACCCGATGGACGGTTAAACTCACCGATACCAGAACCTTCACATCCTACACATTGTAGTACTTTTGACAAAGTCGAATCTACCAATAACAAGCGATGATTTTCGAAATCGGATACTATTATATTACCTGAAGTTGTAAAGCACACACCTCTTGGAGTTGTTGGACCCTTTAACATTTTCATTGAGTTAGCTCCTTCAAATACATATTTGTTCATGTAAGCCCCCTCTCTTGTAAATAGTTGAATTCGGTGATTACGCGTATCAGTCACGACAATGTTTCCTAAGGTGTTGACAGCTACATCCCATGGATACTGGAACTGCCCATATTCTTTCCCAAAGGATCCGAATGCGAAGATGAAGTTGCCAGACATTGAAAATATTTGAATTCTGTGGTTGTCCTTATCTACGACTATAATTCTGCCAAATATGTCAGTTGCAATACCAGCTGGTAGATCAAATTGACCAGGGCCATTGCCTTTGGAACCGAACATGGTTTTGAACTCACCATCCTTAGTGAATATTTGAATACGGTTATTGCGCCTATCGGCAACTATTATGTGACCCTCTCTGTCTATGCATAAGCCCCATGGTCTAGAAACTTGGCCTTGACCTTGTCCCTCACGACCAAATGAAAACATAGGCTCACCAGGGACAAAATTTCTGATTGGCTTTGAAGATACTGGCATCCAATAACCTGAAATAGCTTGTCCAATACCTCGTGTAGGAGTAGTCAATTCCATATTTAAGGCAGAGGTGTTGTTGCAATAATAAGACTTTAGACATAAAGTTTGACTTGGCGGTGATGTCGTACTACTAGTACTCGCAAGACTATAATTCAAAGGACGATGTGGCTGAGCTGTTTGCAAAGACTGCAGTGGAATCATAGCCTCGCGAGGGTACTGTATAACAGAGTTAACTACTTGACCAGAAATTGCGCAAATACGTTGAACATCGAATTTTCTTAATAGGTCTACTAAGTCAAAATATGGTGAAATAAACACAATTCTTTCCTCATCAATAGTCATTTTCTTAAACATAGTTGAAAAATAATCAATCTGCGATCTGCCCTTTTCATTAGCCATAAATAAGCGTAAACCATCAGAATCCATGTTTTGCACTAAGAAATCATTTGTATGTGCCAAAGCAGCGAGCATACCCCGTAATGTATTCGTATAGTCAGATAACTGGGTCGTTTTCGCCTGACGCATTTTCTCAACCTTGTCTATAAGGTATTTTTTCCGAGCCTCAATAAATTCAGTATAATACCGCATAGTGTTTCTGATTTTCATATTAGCTTCCGTAGCATCTTTTTCATAAGCTTTTAACATAGCCACTGCACGATCAATACTCGCTTTTATTACCTTCTTACCAATTCTCGTATCTTCTAATATCTTCATCACTTCTATTCTACATTTATCAAAATCACCTTTTATTGGCGAGTGATCATGATCTCTATGATTCCATAAAGTACATTTATGACAAATGTAATCATTGCATCCTTTACAGAAAAGCTTTAAAGGATCTCCATGGGTTGGACATTCCATAACTTCTCTCTCGTTGTTAACGGAATCAGGTCTGGCCCCGATAAGTAATGTTTGAGGTATTGGAAGAAGGGTGTGTCTCTGCAACTGACATTTAGACGTTACTTTGTGGCAACAATCATAACAAAATAAATCATTGCACTCGATACAACGTGTAGTTGGTGATCGTTCGTCGCATCGGAAACAGGTTATGGAAACAGTGGAAGATGTACCAGGAGAACTACTCAAGTTATCTTCGTTTCTATTTATGGGATGGCTACTGCTACTACTTTTAGCCCTAGCATATTCACTGCCTATAGCACCCATAGGGTTTGGCATGCCTCTGTTGGATGGGAGTACCCTGATATCATAAGGCACAGTCGGTGCTGACGTCACGGACACGGTCGAAGGAGAATCGTTTAGTGTATCTAAAATATTAGAAAAGAACCGTGACATGACTAGTGGCTCCTCTGGTTCGTTGGAGCTGCTGCTAGATGCGGCACTGGTAGAAGCTCCCGAGGTAGACGGCTGGTTTGACGCCGTCGATTTTGCTTTATTAGTGTATGATGACATATTGATGAGTACACGTTACTTTATTAGAACTGTAAAGAAAATAAAACTTTCATTAATATCTATGTACATTTTTAAACAATGACAATACAATACGGGATGTTTTTTAACTCAAGTCTTAAGAGTATCGAAATAGTAAGGAAGTTGTGACGTAAAGCTAGTCTCTAGCCATAGGATACAATATCTTAGCGATGTTGAAGCGCTATTTTGTTTGTCTTTAGTTGGACATGTATTTTAAAAACGAAGCACGAATCATAAAGTATGATGAATATGGATTTAACAGCAGCAGCAACTTAGTCGTACATTCCTTTATCTACCAAAAGCTTCGATCAACGATACGCTCGAAGACTAACATTAACGTTGATCAAAGACCAAAAGGCAGGACAACAGCATAGTAAAATGAAATTAAATACATAATTTCATAATATTCGCTAACATGTCGTATTCTATGGCTAGAAAGTAAGGCGGTCGCACCCCTGCAGAGCGACCGTAACTCTAGCCTCGATTCTAGCTATAGCTATAAAAACGTTCTAATGTTTTTATCAATGAATCTGTTGATATTCTTTTTAAATCATGTTGGTTTATTTTTCTTTTCAAAACAGCTTTGTTCAATAAATAATTCAGTAAACTAAAACAACCAAAAGCATTGACCCAATACATATTTATTAATAATAAAACAAAATCATTGCATAAGAATATTGATAGAACTTACAGCTATAAAAAATATTTACACGGTTTTGAAAGTAGACCACATTTTACCACATTTAAGAGTTAGTAGGATCAGTGATTGGGCATTAAAAGTCTCAATAGTGTATTATAATCATATATGAACCTATGTATAAATTAATAATTCAAATAACTTAAATGATTTTTTTAATAACTTTATTTTCAATAACTTTTATTGAATAAGAAATATCGTTTAAAATTCAAGCAAGATATTCTCTAAAAAGGGTCGATATCCCGGTTCACAAATTACAATACACAGAATTAAAATACCATTAACCACTTAAAATCGAGGCACAAAATTTTTTTAAAGCTTCTTTCTATTTTTGTTTAAGCCATAAATAAAAATTAATAAGCTAAAATTATTCGAAATGTTTGCTTTAAAATTATTGGAAATGAATCAATATATTTCAGGACAAATCTAGTAGCCGCGTGTTTACATCTCACAACTTCTACATCTAGTTATATAATAATTTATTAATCTTTTTATATTCACCATTACCTAATGAATAATATTTAATAAAACTAATTTATTTTGATCGGCAGAAGTCTCTTCGATACAGCGACGCGTAGAAATATACCCCTAGTCCATTCATAATAACATTAGAAAAAAGAGGGTCATAGAAGCAGCAGTGCAGAACATTTTATTTTCAAGATAAATTTAATAAATATACATTATAGTTTTGTTGAAACTTTGAACGTTAGATAGTCTGAAAGAGCCGAGCAATTTTCTATTTTTTACGATATCTCGGGGTTGAGATGAGGCCAGCATTTTCTAAATTCTTCTTTTACTCCCAAGCCAACATGGAATTAAAACTATCTATCTGTTGATTTGATTATAATTAGAATATAATTTAGTTATATCTATGCCCAGTAAAGAAAGGTAAACAAAATGAAATTTTTATTATTACTTTTATAACATTTATTCAGACATTAGACTATTGATGAAGATATTGAAAAAACTTCTTGAAATGTCAAAGGTTGGTAGGTATGGGGGCTTAGAGCGTAATTGTTGTAGGCCACTCGGGCCTGCACCGGCATCGTTCATATTTAATACAACTTAACAACAAAAACAAAACTAATATAAAACAATAACAACTTAATCACGGAAAACGGAAAAACAACAAGAAAAGCAGTAGCATTCACAATGGATGACATTCCCAGATTACGTAGTTTGACAATTATGAATACATCATAATCTAAAAAAATTAAAAAACTGTACTGCCGAAACGTTTGAAAGGATAAGGCAACGTTTTAAATTTGGTAGAATTATAGTGACATGAGAATCGTGCCGAAACTATCCAACCCTGCTTCTTTGGGTTCTTTAAGATGAACACTTTTTATTGTAATAGTTATTAAATCATTTAAGTTAATCAAATATTCATAAATTTGTTTAATAGATTGCTTAAATTACAACAATTAAGTATAGCTGCTGGTATTTATGTGAATATGTAGCAAATTAGCCGTCAGTCTTAAGAGTAACATAATTATTGATATTTGGTCACAAAAAAGTATACCATAAAAAGAAACTTATTTAACTTCTATCTAATGCTATAATTAATGGAGTATAATATTATAGTTTTATACGTCTCTAATATCATAACTAAAAAGCAATCACAATGATTATACTTCTACAAGATGGGAATAAAAAAGATAAACTCTTTTTTAGTTACTAATTATAAGATATTATTCAAGATTCTTTGAAGTAAAACTTCTTCAAAAGGTAGGTTTTTAAAGATAGATTGAACCTCTATGGTGCGTCAGTGCAATGTTCGACATTGCGTTTGACGCAGATTTTTACAAAATACCATAGCAGTTCTCGTCTGTATTCATGACGGTCTTAGATATACCAAACATCTAAGGCACCGGTCTATTAAAGCTGGATTAAAACAAATTATAAATAAAAGAAACGTTACATAGGAATTATTATCCATACCTATGGAGTCTTATTATAATGCCCCTTCTGTTTCCATCAAAAGTCGTCCTTTTTAATTTCAACGGTTCCTAAATACTTTTAATAAGTTTAAGTGAATATGTTTTATTTTAACTTTGACTTTTTTTGGAAACAAACGATAGATGCAGGAGGATACACAGGATTAAATTTATCTTTGTAATATAAATTTAATTGTCAAAAATATATTATCGGTTTCTAATCTTGAAAGTAAGGAAAATATTGATAATAAGTAAGTCTCGGGAATGTCGATACCGATAATTACCGGTTGCATGCTCTACTCAATAGATGGGGGTGTGCACTGGTCATCTTTATTGTTTTTATTTTTATCGTGTAAAATTCATACAACTATTACTTACATATAGTAAAATATTAGTATCCCAGTTAGCACTCTTCTATTTTTTACTTTTGAAGCCATATTAAAAGCAATTGTTTATTAATGACACAGATATTTTATTAATTATAATTAGACATCGGATTATATGCATTTGCATGTTTGCATATGCATATAATTCCATTTTTATATCGTTATTGCATATTTTGGTACTTTTTCATTTTAGTAGTTATACATGTGTGTATGTAACAGTTTACTAAATAAACTGTCTTTCTTTTGAATGTTTAGCTGATATGCTTAATTCCTTTTTACTTTTTAATACAAATTAATTTAAAGAAAAATATCATTAAAAATAACTGTACATACAATGTTAACAATTATACTAAGGAGGTAGGCAGACATGGGAGCGCAGCGCGGCTCATAGTGGTGAAATAGTATATAAATAACTTCTCGCGAAACAATACATTAATTTTTAAGTGATTTTGAAAATTTGAAAGTTTGTGCTAAATAACTCCGAAATCGGGTTAGTGTTCTAATTCCTATAATTTTTAGTGCTCGCTTACAAGTTATTACCTTGAAGTATTTTATTTTTAAAATCACAAGTTCAATAAGTAACTTTAAATTCTAAATCTATTTCGTCGCTTTATAATATTTAACGTTTTTATTGAACATTTAATTCCGAGATGAAGATCTGGTTCTCAACCAAATGTGTGAAAATATTTCATTCTATTGCAATAAAGGTGAAGTAGGTGTTTAAGGAAACGTTATAGAATTTTTGCTATATTTAAGGTATTACATTCATAAAACAATATATTGAAACAAAACGGAGTTCTGAGACTACGCAATCTTAACATTTAATTATTTTTCTACCTTACAGATTTCATATTTAATTTTGTCTGCTAAAATTAAATATAATCTATACATTGTCCGAATGTTAGTTATTTTAGTTTAAATTCGTGATTTTGTTTCCATCTCCGGTTCGATACCCCGGTTGTGCTATAAAGAATATTTGATAACCATGAAATTAAGATAATTTTTAAATGGAACACTTAGTGCTTTAATTTAAATTGAACTACGGATTCGATTCCCGTGTTATTTAATATAATAGTATTTGTATTTTTTTAACTTACAGATTATTATCATAGCATCTTTTATTTAAACTTCATTCTAAATGATTTTTAATATCATTTGAAACGCATATTTTTATATTTTTTTTAGCCGGTAGATTTTTATAGAAACTATTGCAACTGCAGCTATCTTAATTGTTCCAGGCCACAGGTAGCCGCACTTATTGAACTTCTATTCAGTGCTGTATTTATGTTAACAGGGTTCTTCTACCCGAGTCCTCCTGACCTACGTTGCTCTGCGTTGTGCCTGAGCCTTCGTGGATCTTCAGTGCTACTGACCGGAGCTGACGACAGGTCTACACCCTTGCCAGTCTCTGCC